TTGAATGAGTCATGGACCAATGAAATCTCCATTTTGGGTCCTTATATATTGGTCTTAGCCAGGGTATTGTGAGGGTATTGTGAAGCTATGGTGAGGGTATGGTGTACCTTATCTCCAATCAACACCCAGGGTCAATCCTAAGGCCAAGTAACCCTATAGGAACTCTTCTTGAGCTCCCTAATAATGATCTTATCTCCTAAAAGTTAGAGGTTAGGACCAATATGTGGAACTTCAAGTTGAGTAAAGGGAAGAGTTTTGAGTTTCTAATGGTGGGGGTACCTTTTCTAGTACCTTTTCTAAGACTAGTCAATAGGAAAGTCCTATGGCTAGACCTAGGCTACTAAAGAAGTTTCTAGACCTCAACCAAAAATGAGGTCAACATTGAATAAAGTAAAAGTAGAAAGGAAAGTTTATAAGTTTCCGCATCGAACACGTTGGACAGGAAGAGAATCAAGTGGCAGACCTCTTATCAAAAGATACACGTGTTGGGAATAGAGCAACCCCAATAGCTACTTCAACTATTCATTAAAGAACCATAAGTAATGGAAATGGAAGCAAATGATGAAGGAAGTTGGCTGAAGCCTTATATCCACTATTTCAAAACAGGCGAAATTCATGAACCAATGACGGATCCGCAAAGATTCAATTTTTGAAGTCGTTCAATACCATAAAGAAAATTTCTTTCAATGGTCGTGAATTATTTTTCTAAGTGGATATAAGCTAAAACATTCGCTCAGATCACCACAGATGTGGTCCAAAATTTTTTCTGGATTGATATAATTTATCGGTATGGTTTACTCCTAGTACTCATTATAGATAATGAAACTCATGTTCTTGATCAGGGGGTAAGAGTTTTCTATTAGAGCCAGGGAATTAATTTGAAATTCTCGTCTGCGCATCACCCTCAGATGAATGGTCAAGCTGAAGCTGCAGACGAGATCATTCTAAACTTATTACGAAAGAAGGTCGAAGGTGCAAAAGGTTAGTGAATGGACATGCTTCCTTCAGTTTTTTTGGCCGTCTGAACCACTCCAAAGAAATCAATCAGTCAAATTTCATACATGATTTCCCACGAAATGAAAGTTATGTTACTGGTTGAATATAATCACACAGTCAAAGAGTCATCACTGCAACATCTTTCGTCAAGGAGGAGCTCAATGACTGGCAAGTTGTGAATGAAGGAGCTTTGCTCGCTCTATATTTACTAGAAGAAATTAGAATGGATATTGCTCTATGAAAATAAGAAATAAAAAGGACATCCAGATATTACAACAAAAACATACAAGAATAGACATTTTTTTGTGGGTGATTTGGTTCTAAAGGTTAATCCAGCTGTCAGAGGTCAATCAGTCGTCAAGCTTGATCAGACATGAACCTACTCATTCATCATCAGTCATCAAGTTTTCCCTGGTGCATATAATTTAAAAACATACAAAGGGAAAGTTCTTCTACGAACGTGGAGTGGGGATTACCTCAAACATTTTTTTTCCATAAACAAAATGATTTACTTTGTATATGTAATCACATTTCAGAAACACTATTATTATTAAATGAAACATTTTTATTATCTTGGTTGGAATGTACAAAACATCAAGCTAACATAAAATAAAAAAAATACACCCGTTACAAATTTCCTATTATAAGAACAATCTCTTGAGGGGAGGGCGAAGACCCTATGTTGAAGCTCAGCTGATGGGTCCCACCAAGAAAACTTGTTTCCTCGCTTTCTCCGCATTTTCATATTTTCCTCACAATGGAGGAAAACCTGGAGGTGAGGGACGTTTGTTGTTAAGAGGCTTTCAAGTCCTAATAGCGCTAATGGTAAGATCTCACTCTTGACATGGATCGTGAACATATGTATTGTGCTCCCTCATAACATGTGCTCAGCACAACCTTTCCCAAGGGTTCACACATCTGTTTGCAGGGAGGATTTTCTGCAGGTGGCGAGTCTTGACTTTATCACATTCGACACCCGACTTGGAGAAAGTACCTTCCTTTGGCACTTGAATCGAAGAAAAACGGAGAAAATGAGTGCAATAAAAGTCTCACATTTTATAGTAACCCGCTAAACTTTATATGTCATAAAGTCAAGAGTGCAATAAAAACTTCTATCAACTAATAGTGCAATAAACGCTTCCGTCAACTAAAAGTCTTCGCCTCTGACTTTACACTAAGTTGATAAAACTCTAACATTTTATACTAATATGCTAAACTTTATCTTGAACATGAGTGCAATAAAAAAAGGCCCCCTCCCCTTTTTATGGGCGGCGGGGGGGGTGTGATCAACTATTGTAACAGGTGTTGCTCGACAAAAGCCTACTAAGGGCCCACCATGATAAAACAGTTCCACACCCTGACAAGACAACTCGACGACTAATTTCCCAATAAAGGAAAAGAAAAATCAGATCTTAAAAGTTGATCCACCAAAGTTAATGATAGATAATGAGATAAAAACAAGGCTGCTGCTCTAATACAACAATCTTTAAGGATTTCTTCGACATTAATAAAACTCGACAAGATCAAACGATGTTCGACGGTCATCTCTGATGCTCGAGGAACTTGAACACCTCGAGTGAAAAGGTACACATCAAAAGCGCACCGTAATGTTAATGTGATGATTGATAAATCATGGACTTTTGATGAACAACAGATTAAAATAATAAACAACCGATCAATTTTAATTCTTATTTTAAATCTATCGAGAATCAGTTGAGAAAAATGAAAGAAATACTTGGGGAACTCGATTTTGCTGTAAAAATACGACCAAAAATCGTTATGATGCTTGGTCGCACCGAAGATGGCCAAAAAAAGTTACGACGCTTAATCGCACTAAAGACAACCAAAAAGCGCTAGGATGCTTAGCCGCACCAAAGACAACCAAAAAAACGTTACAATGCTTGGTCGCACCAAAGATAACAGAAATAGCGTTGCGACGCTTGGTCCCATCAAGATCAAGCTAAAAAGTGTTATCACACATGATCGACAAAAAACTTGCAAGCTGCATATGACATTACCAAGATCTGTTCTGAAAACTTAGAATTTTCTTTAGATTTTATATTTCAAAGAATTAAAAATCATATTTCATTCATATGTATGTCTATTAAAAAATTCTAGAATATACACACAAAATTTTCTGCGACCTTGGCCCACGGAACCTCCATTTCACTAAGTTGTCCCACGTGCTACTGAAATGTCCACAGTTTTTTTTCTGAGAGAATAGTGTTACAAAGGTAAATGAGAAGGCCAAAATCAAAACTTGTCACGATCGTACTGTCCCACATGTTTAATAATTAACGTATGCATGCTTAATACATACGTTTAGTTAGAATAATTGACTAAATATTAATGCATTCTGGTACATATGGAATAAGAACCTTGGCCTAATCGCAATGCAATCAACATAGCTATGGGCCTGGATGTATCTCTTGCGTTCCAAGACAGAGAGTCTGGTGTAATTATGCCATTGGGCAATCGTAGGTATGTCAATACGAGTATTTGGTCCAACTTCGTATTTCGGCGCGTTAAGTTAGATTCAGATGGATTGGTTTACAAATGGTCAAATCGATTGCAACCAAAATTCAAAATTTGAAAAATCAAACTGATCAAATCTTTTATAAAATCAGACAGAGTGAACCAAAGTTTAATTCGATTTAAACGGTTTGATCCTGAAATAACCCAAATACAATTATTTGTTTGAGTTCGATTATGAACAAAAATTAGAAATTACATATCTTAAATGTACAATATCAATTTAATTTTATGAATCATATATGGAATCATATATTTATTTTAATCAAAAGTTGCATATATGATAAATTTTAATTTTTCCATGAAATTAAAATATAGAAATATTTACATACAAATCACTTAATTCCTATGTATTAATCTTACACCTAAAATTTTTTAAAATTTTTTTTTTACATTAATAGCACATTAGCTATTTTTTTTCAAGAGTTAAAAGTGATAATTTTAATGAAATAGGAAACTTTTGGGTGGTATAGATGTAAAATATAAAATTCGGGTTGCTAAATATATAATTACATAATAATTTGATACCTTTAAAATGGAACAAACAATTTTAATTTAATTTCAATATTTCGGTTAAATAAAAATTCAAACCAAATTAATAATAAAAAATCGAATATTAAAATTTTAAAAACCAAAACCAATTTAACCGAACTCATTCGGTTCAATTTTGACACCTTCCATTTAATCAAAGTGATTAAAATTAAGTCTCAGAAAATTAAATATGTGGAATTTCTCATAGCGCACCATCATTATGTTGTGTAGTTACTCTATATAATTTTATATTATATATTTTCTTAGGTTTAGTTTTGAAAATATGTTCTGTATTGAGCTATATGTCAAGGACAAATAGTCCCACATTGGCTAGGTGTAGGGCCGAAAAACAGTATTTAAGTCCTGGGCTGCCCACCACCCATAAGGGCTCTTTTGGGAGGTGACAAATGATATCAGAGCAGATTACTGTCTGTCAGATGCGTGGACTCTCCATGGTCCAATGGGATCCTTGGTGGAGCCGATCCGTGATGAGGGCGTCATATGATTGGGTGGAGAAGAATGTCACGGACAAATAGTCCCAGCCCACCACCCATAAGAACTCTTTTCGGAGGTGACATATAGCTTCATTTATTCACGAAACAACAAACAGAACACAACTAAAGTTTTTTGAGTATTTTATGCTGATTCTGGTCAAAGAACAGCATAAAATCCAAACAAAACTTAAAAAATACAGAGCAGACATCAGAAGAAACAAAAAATTGAATTGCATTGCAAATATTTTGGCATTTGAGCCTTATACAAAAGCAGTACCAGCCCACCACCCATAAGGACTCTTTTCGGAGGTGACATATAGCTTCATTTATTCACGAAACAACAAACAGAACACAACTAAAGTTTTTTGAGTATTTTATGCTGATTCTGGTCAAAGAACAGCATAAAATCCAAACAAAACTTAAAAAATACAGAGCAGACATCAGAAGAAACAAAAAATTGAATTGCATTGCAAATATTTTGGCATTTGAGCCTTATACAAAAGCAGTAAATTTTCAAATAAGAAGTCTCTAGCTTTTTATTACGTTTGAAATAAACGGAAAAAAAACTTGAATTTGGCCAGAGTATTTCAGTCAGTGCTGTTGGGAACAATCTCCTCATCTTGATGCAAAGGAACAGATTCTGCCTGAAATGGTGAAAAACAGAACAAAACATGAAGAATTCAAGCAAAAATTTTCCAAATTCATTTGCAGATACAAATTTATAATGAAGTAAACTTACCAATTGACGATATTTGAGGGCATAGAACATCTCAAGATATCTCTTTGTCTCTCTCCTGTCTAAGTTAGAAACATACTTCCAGAAACCATAGACACCAGCCAAGGTCATCAATCTCTCAGAATACAGTTTCCAGGTGTATCTGCACAACAAAGAGAGTTAACTTCAGTGCATCTATGTATTAATTTGATGCAACAGAAGTAAATTTCAAAATTTTAAAATGTTTACTTTTCTTCAATGCGCTTCATGGCTCCCCTGGAGATCTTCTCCCAGTATGTTGGGTCCTCCTCACATTTCTCAAAGAAATTTACCAGCAGCTCTGCAGCCTTATCACCCTGGTAGGGGTCAATGTGGAAACCTGAAACTCCATGGACGATGATCTCTGCAGGACCTCCATGAACTGTTGCAAAGGTCGGAAGCCCGCAGGTCATTGACTCCACTACTGTGAGCCCAAAAGCTTCATAGAAGGCAGGCTGTTAAAAGCACAAATGCTGTACGATTTAGACCGGAAATGTGATGCAAATGTTATGATTTTCTTGAAAGATTTACATACACACTCAATTGCTATTGTTTACCTATCCAACATCCAAACTGCAATTTTTACATTCACATCACCTCACCTATGCATGAGAAGTTGTGTTTTTACTTCTTAAATGCTGTGGTGATATGAAAGAATTGGATTGAGTGGTATGTATGCAAATCTTATAATTTCTTGTCAATAGATGAGATTACCTGGACAAAGACTCCCTTTTTGTCTGCAATGTAGCGATACAGCTCGCCGTTCCGGACACGATTCATCTGAGCAGAAATCCACCTTATGTGCCCATCAAGATTATACTGCTCAATGAGGCTGTACATTTTGTTCATTTCAGCTTGCTCTTCTAAGTCCTTGGATGCCTTGGCATGGTCTCCAGCAACCACGACAAGGTTAACGAGCTCCCTTAGACGAGGATTTTTACCATAGAACTCAACCAGGCCAGTTATATTCTTTACCCGGTCCAGTCTTGCCATAGAGAATATTATGGGCTTGCTCTTGTCATTCAGTACACACCTAACATATGTCAAAGCAGCTTTCAGATGATGAGCAAAGGAAAAAAGAAACAAAGGTGCATTTACATACATACGACACAATTCTTATGTATTTACATATCTTAACACTTAAACATTCATATTACATGCATACAACTCGAATCTTTAACATTGCATCAAAGATACCATCATTACTTTCTTTTAACACGCCCTCATGCATAAGTTTATGACAAAAAGGTGTTTTTTAGTGTAAATATCAAATTTTGGGTGTTAGATATGTAAATATATAATGTAAATTTCCCGGAAAAAAAATAAAGTGTAAAAGCCAATGAAAGAATAACTCACTTATGCTCTAAGTTCTCAACATCACTGAAGAGCAGCTCCTCTATTTCGGGGTGAAGGGCTGTTAGCCTTTTGTTCTTGTCAGAATAAGAAAAGTAGATTGACATATCGGCTCCAGGAGAGACAATATTGAACTTTGGATCAAAGACATCAATTCCGTGAACGACGCGGTAGAGTCCAGGCATTGTGAAGGCGGTATGAGACTCGTATTGCCCCACCGTATCCTTGCTGAAATAATTCAATTCAAATTATTATTATTTTTTTCATGGATCAGTGACAGAGAGACAAAACATCAGAATTCGGAGAAAAAAAAAAGGTCAACAAAAGTTGGTACCTTCCAAGCAATTTCTTGGAAAGTGCTTGTGATGATGAAATCAGCATGGTTCATGGCAATAAGATCAGCAGTAAATTGGCAAGAGAAATGGTATTGTTCATCGGATTTCTTCCAGTATATATCAGAATTAGGATACTTTGTCTTCTCCAGGGCATGGGCAATCGTGCACTGAAAATATATTGGAGAAAAAAAGATAGGTAATTTCAAACAAAAAAGTTTGAAATTGTAAGAAAAACTAATTTTTTTATTTGCAAACCTGAGTAATTCCTAGTTTCTGTGCCAGCAAGGATGCTACTAGATTACCATCACTGTAATTTCCAATGATGAGATCTGGAGTAGCTTGCAGCTCCATAGCCAACTCCTTTGCAACATCCTGTAGCCAAAGCAAAATGAATTTCAGCATCCCAACATCAAGAAATACAGCTCTTTGGACATTATTATTAATTATTTTGAATCCGTGTAGTTCTAAAACTTTCACTAAAGCGAATGAAGCCATCTAATTTGAAGATTCACTCACATCAGCATAAGTTTCTAGATAGGGCCACACTTCGAATCGCGAGATCCACTTTCTAATGATTCCTTTCTCAGTCCTGAATGGAACCCGAAGAATGTTGGTGTGCTCCGTGCCGATAACCTTCTCGAGACGCTGACCGCAAGTAGTCCCAACTGCATCTGGAAGCAATCTAGTCACCTGCAGCAAATGGTAAGAATTCTTAGCTACTACTGAACAAATAATTTATTATTGCTTAAGAATTGGGTCTAGGATTAGCTTTGTATTCATTCTGATTTTGAGGTTTTACAATTGCGAGAGCTAGCTCAATGCAAACAGAGATAAGACTAACAATATGAAAGCTAATAATTAGATGACTTCAGAGTAAAGTGTTATAATGGTCCCCTTTTACATATGGCCATAGTCCTATGGTCTATAAAAGAGTCAAATTAGTCGTCGAACTCTTTAAATTTGGGTCAAGATAGTCCAATGCGGGGACTATTTCAGCACACATATTAAAAGGATGTGAGAACTAAATCAGCACCTTTATAGACTCTGGGACTAAAATGATCCCATATAAAAAGTCGGGGACAATTTTGACAATTTTCTTGATAACTTAAACTTACAATGAGTATATGGGGAGTGATATTAAGTCCCTGTTTCTTTATTCTCAGAAGCATTTCATTCTCCAGCGCACGAACTTGATCCAAGATATAGACAACCTACCAATGAAGCCACATGTCAGAACAAAAATTATAAGCAGGAAATAATTGAACCCCTTTGTTGATCTCCTTCAAGTATGTTACCTGGCCGCCAGTGTCAGGATAACCCAAAACATTGTCTTGAGCAAAGTAGCCATGGGGGGATAGGATGACAACATTGAACACCATTGGAACAGCACCAAGGAAGTTTTCCAGGGTGTTTGGATCAGGTGCCTCAAGAAGATCAAGGAGAAGATGAATTGTCTCCTGTACACACCCGGCTGTATCTCCCCAGCCTTTCTCCAAACCAAGCTCTTGGAATCTTCACATTTTATTAAATTGAGTTGATAATTGTAAAAGGATATTCTCTGATAATTCTAATATCTTAATTAGAGATTAAACAGTCAAGCACTTACCTATGGTTGAATTTAGAATATGGAGTTTCTTGTGGTATACTCATTAGATATTGCTCAGCCTTGCGCAGCGCAGATCGGAGAGCAGTTAAACTTTGAATTCTGTCATTCAACATTATGCTCTGCATACAAAATTTGTTGTGTTAGTTTTGATAATATCTTCAATGAAGACCTGTGTAATTGCCATTTGAGGATTTGAGTCTCATTTTATTGACATTGAGGTGTTGCCAAAGATTATGTGATATATTCAAAAAATTAACAAGAACAAAAGATAATCAATATTATATTCTTTGGACAAAAGAGCATCGAACAAAACACAACATTTATTAGATAACAATATCATATAAATGGAAAATCTTCTCTAGATGATGTCTAAAAAGTAATGAAGTAGTCTGGAAAGAAATCTTCATATTTTACCATCATTTAATGCTGGAAAAATTATTATGTGTGAATAACATATGATATCTTAATTATTTAAAGGTCTATACCACCTAAATTGTTCATAGTACCAAGAAGAATTTTTTTATTTCAAATTAAGACAAAGATGTTTATATAACAACATGCAAATGTAGCTTTCATGATTTGCTTCAAGTTAGTCACTTCAAAAATTCTAATGAATATTAAAGAATGGCAACAATGGAGGCTTAACTATAACCAAAGATTAAAAATGTAAGACAAACAAGTAAAACGGTCCAAATTTGGGAAAAAGATAGCAGATCACCACTTTGCAAAAAAAAATTGAAATTCAACAGATAGAATGAATAAGCACCCAAGAAAGAAATGTTACCATTCCATTGTAGTTATGTGCCTTGAGGAAATTTAGCAGTGGGTACATGCTCTCCTTGTCATGGAACAATTTCGAAGAAAGATGCCGGTTGAGAAACTGCACGCCATTACCAATGGATTTGGAGAGCGAGGGGCGAGGAAATGAAGCATTGAAAGGCTCAAAGTCCAACTCAAGCACAAAATTGCTTTCAGATCTGAAAGAAAAAAGACAATTGAAGTAAGATACACCTCCTCTTTGGTTATTACAAATAAAAAAAAATTAATAACTCTTCAATTCTCTTTAAATTCATAGAATTTTGTAAGCCAAACCTTCCATTCACAAGGTCTTCCTTGAATTGCAAGTACTGAGGCACGCTCATTTCCTCAACTGCTAACTCACTCACATTAATCCTGACATATTCCCACACTCCAGGCCTCGGCCGGATCGCAAGAGCAACCCATGGAGGTGTGACAATGGCCTCCTGAAAATCAAGCAAGAAATAAACCCAAAATTTTAACCCAAAAGCAACAAATTAGCAGTCAAAAGACAATAAAAATGCAAAGTTGTTCTTCTGCCGCACCTGAGCAGCTTTGACAACGTCTTCAAAGACACCACCTTTAAGCTTTTCTCGATCCGCTTCAGGGATTACAGATTCATACTCTGCCAGAATTTGATGAGGTAACAACATTCCCTTTCCTTGCTTAACAAACCTAAATGATGCAAACATCTCAACCATTTATAAACTGCATATCAAGATTTGATTTTTTTTTCAAAACAATTCTACCAATGTAAAGCTTGATTTACAAAATCCAATCTTGTGGAGTGTTTCAGAATGCATGCAACCACAAAAGCACAAAATACTAAATCCATCTCTCAAATGATTGCTGCAAAAAAGATTTAATACCTTGAGAAGAGAGCCAGCAACTCATTAGTGTGAGATGATAGTGTATCTGCAAGCCGCTCGCGGATGCTGTGGATTCGGGTCAAGGTTCTATGATCAGCCATTACTTCTCCCTTCCTTGTTTCAGATTCAGAACAACCAGAGCTGCAAAAAACGAAGAAGCACAATATAAAAGAAATGAGACGACAAATTTCTGGAAAACTTATAACTTACAAAAGTTGACTTGAAAAAAACGGAGCTAGACTAACTTCCTTCTAGAACCACAGAATTTCTTGGGACAAAATAGTAAACAAAACGATAAGATTGACAGATAAGAGTAGAAAAATTTTCAACAACAACTCCAATTGATGCGTATTCCTTCCTTTACCACGGAAAAAATAACCTTTCGGAGACAAAAGTGGAATCATTTTGGAGGGAAAAAAGATTTTTTTTTTTATTTTTTGCGATTTTGTTAAATGGATTTTGATCTTAGGCAAAAGAGTCAAATTTTTGGGTAATAATGGATTTGTTTTTTTTTTTTTTTTCTTTTGTTCGCGATTTTGCTAAATGGATTTTGATATTAGGCAAAAGAGTCAAATTTTTGGGTAATAATGGACAAATATCCCCATCAAATATGTCAGGATCTCTTGAGCCCTGAAATAAATCTTCATGCGAGCGGCAGAAGGGTAGGACAAACAGAACTTTGAAATCAACGACATATCAACTAAATTCCATCATCCGCATGCATTCTAGAAGACATGCATCACCCTCTTTACAGGATAATATTAAAAAAAAAAAGTGTTTTTGTTAATTTTCTTATGAAAAAATTGGAGCTAGGGCTAATCTTTTGATGATGTGACGGTCACATCTTCACTGTTGTTATCACGGAATAAGAATAATAATAAAAAAAAAATCATAGAGACTGTGTAAAAATCAAACATTTATAGCAGAAAAAGGACAATTTTTTTCAAAACAGATGAGCGCTGGAAGAAAGTTGTCAACTTTGAAAAACATTTGAACAGAACAGCAAAAAAAAAAAAGCTTTACCTCCTTTAAGACTCAAATGAGGAACGAGAAGAAAGAAAATAGACTAGAAAATAGAATGAGCGAAGTTGGGAACAAAAGGATGGAGGAAAAAGCTCCAATCCCCCTCTTTATATACACAGAGAAAGGCCAGGCTCTGCATTTTCTATTATTAGATAATTTACACAGTTACCACCTAAAACTATTCTATTTACTTACCTAACACCTAAACTTTTACTATTTATATACCAAACATTTTCTGTAAGCTCGAGTTTTAGATGGTAGATATTAAAATACAATAATTTTGAGTGGCAATTATGTAAATCTCCCTTGCTTATTTATTGGGTAGAGCTCGTTGACAACTCACTTTCGTTGGCGGGCGTGAGAGAAGGACGGCGGTGGGACGTTTACTGCAACACCAAAACAGCTTTCGAAGCTTGTAGAACTCGTCGCTGCTTGTTTTTCCTTCGCCGCCCTTCGCGCTTTCGGATTTGTTTTTAATCAACCCAACTCTAATTTAGGATTTATTATTATTATTATTATTATTATTATTAT